TAATTTAAAATAAATTTAAAATAAAAGAGATAATTAGATAAGTATTTTTTTAATTTTATTGTTATCTCTTTATTTTAATTATTCTTCAAATCACAAAAACCCTTGCTTTTACCTTTTAGTATTTTATTTTCAAAAGTATTATAAGTGAACTCATAACTTATTCTCAAACTTTGAATTTAGAGATAAAGCAAAAAAAAATAACAGTTATTTTATACTCCCTTCATTCATTTTAATAGTTTTAGTTTGATTTTTTTTTATTTTTTAGATATAAATTTTAGATGAAAATTTAATAATTTATATGAATAATAATTGAAAATTTTTCCTATATGTAGTTTCTGTTGAGTATTTTTATTTGATAAAAAATTTTAATTATCATTTATATAATATATTAAATTTTTATTTAAAATTCATATCTAAAAAGTTAAAAAGTTAAATTAAGACTACTAAAATGAATGGAAGTAGTAATAAAGAAGGTACTAAATGGAAAATGATTAGCACACATTTAATTCAATCCACTTTTTGATATTTGTCCTGATTTGCTTATTAAAATATAATATAAATACAATTTATTTAATTGGTTCTTATATTATGTATGCATGATTGTTGTTTCCTCAGAAATTCTCAAGTGGCTACACATGTATGGAATTTGGATGCTAGCATACCACTTACTTTGATGAAAGTAAGAAAAAAGAATTTTTCCCAATGACCCTCTCTTTTCTCACAGTCGATCTCCTTACGGATAGCAGAAAAAATGTTAGTTTAAAATTAAAATATGTGCTTACAGACAATTTGCAAGAGAAATGGATGCCTTCCTATAAAATGAGTTACTAAATCCGCTTTGGACAGTTTCAAAGATTTAAACACTATCATGAATCAAAGTTAACATATCCTAAGTGAACTAAATGGCATGTAAATTAAAGTAAACTTATAAGAACAAGATGTATACAAATTAAATTAAATATGTTTATTGTCAAATTAAACTACCATCTACAAACAGATTTGGAAATTAAATAACAACAGAATTAAAGATCTAACCCTAAATAACACTAAAGCAAACATGAATAAGGACTAAACTAACATGCCTAAAATTGAGAAAAAGCATAAACGTCGTATAAGTACTCATTTGATGAAACTCTACTTATTATGAACATTAAACTAATACTAGTCAAAAAAAGAACAATACCTTGTATAAATTCAAAGCTTGATGGTCATTACATGAAACGAAATTGCTGAAGCAAATACACGAACTAATTTGACTATTGGAATGATGAAAAACAACCTAAATCTACTAGGAATTGTGCTAAAATCCAAAATTTGAATGCTAACATACCACTTACTTTGATGAAAGTAAGAGAAATAGATTTTCCCAACAATCCTCTCTTTTCTCATAATCGACCTCCTTGCGGATAACGAAAATAATGTTGGTTTAAAATTAAAATCTGTGCCTACAGACGATTTGCAAGAGGGAAAGATGCCTTCTTATAGAATGGATTACTAAATCTACCTTGGACAATTCTAAGGATTTAAACAATATCATGAATCAAAGTTAACAGATCCTAAGTAAACTAAATGGCATGCAAATTAAAGTAAACTTATAAAAACAAGATGTATCCAAATTAATTAAGTATGTTCATTGTCAAATTAAACTGCTGTCTACAAATAGATTTGGAAATTAAGCTACAACAAAATTAGAGATCTAACCCTAAATAACACTAAAGCAAATATGAACAAGGACTAAACTAACATGCCTAAAATTGAGAAGAAGCATGAACGTCATATGAGTAATCATTTGATGAAACGCTACTTATCATAAACATTAAACAAATACCAGTAAAAAAAAAAAAAGAATAGTACCTTATATAAATTCAAAGCTTTATGTTCATTACATGAAACAAAATTACTGAAGCAAGTACACGAACTAATTTGACTATTGGAATGATAAAAAACAACCTAAATCTATTGGCAATTGTGTTGAAATTTGAAATTTGTAAGCTAAAGTGAGGAATTGCGGAGAAATTAAAAGTCTAAAAATTTGTTCGATTGAATGTAAAGTTGGCCATGTGTTGAATGATCAAAAATTTTCCTTTTGTTTTCCTCTTCCCTGCTTGCAACTCCCCACTTCATGCAGTTACTCAAATCATGAGCAGTTTCCTGAAGAAGTTAGATATCTAAGCATTGACTAAGTCAAAATTCCCTTCAAATTTCACCATCTATCCCATTATTAGTTAGCTCACATCTATAACTGAAACCAACTCTTAAAAATCAGTTGAAACAATCCCAACGTGACTCAAATAGGCAACCAAAAAATAAAATCTTATCTTTTCAATTCTTTTTTTCCTATGTGGCACCTGATCTATCATGGGACTAGAATTACATATCTAACATGACTAAATCAGCTCTATCCTTTTAAAAACATCTGACACATAGCATAATATTAAATTTTTGTAATTTATAATGTAAACAATTGTATTTTTAAACTTACTTATTTTTAATTTCATACTAAAAAATAATAATTTTTAATAAATATATTAAATTAAAATATGTACCAATAAGTGTCTATATTAAATAAAGGTACTCTAAATTAGTAGTTATATTTTATTTTAAAAAATACATTAAATGCCAGAATTTATTTTACTTTTATTTAGGATAAAATAAAAATTCATTAGATTTTTTATTTAATTGTGTGTAAAAATAAAAATAAAAATAAAAACATAATCTAAAATTATTGTACTAATGAATCTTTTTGATAATTATAAATAGATAAAGTAAAACTTTTGTGCGTGGGGGGAATAGCCACACCCAAATATTTCCCATAAGAAAAACTTTTGGATATTTATCCATTTTCCCAATGTTGCCATTAAACTTAAAATATTTACCTTAAAATAATAGAGTCCCATTCCCAGCATAAATTTTTTTGTTTTTCTTCCTTCTTCCTCTTCGGATTTCTTTCCCCCTTTTTTTTTCTCTCCTTGTCGCTATGGCGAACATCGCTGGGGAGAAGCCGAAGAAAACGAGATTTAGTATAAATAAAAACATAATTTTTCAATA